TCCTCAATCTTGCACGACTCCAGCTCCGGACCTGGAAAGTCCGCCATCTCGGAATCTGAATCGGTCGCCTCCAGCATGACTCTTCATATTGCTGAGCATTTGACAGCTAAGCTCTAAATGTGCTCTAAACCGGATCATCCCTGCGAGCTGAATCGAAGATCTTCAACCCCTACGCCTTGAAAACTGAGCCCCTTGCGTTCACTCTGGACAACGACAACGCCTAGGAACCTCTTGCGTGACCCTCATTAAATACCCCAAATCTGAGGAGCCCTAAACGCGCCTAAAACCCCCCCAAAAAAGTAGGTAAAATCGTGGCCTAAAACCATACAAAGGGCCATTATTCTACATAACTTTTGGGCTCCAGGCCCTAAGCCCCAAACCTTAAAAAAACGCCTTGACAAGCACCGAAAGTTCGGCCTCAAAGTTGCAGCTCTTGGCGTTGAACCTTCGGTGCGCTTTGGCTTTGGGGTTTAGGGTTCCTTTAAGCCCACTGGCCCAAAACCCAAGGACATAAAAGTTGAAACTTTCGGAATCGACTCCCTTAGAAGAACCCCAAAAGTTGAAAAGTTGAGTTTACTGTCAATAAGTAAGAGTCCCTGTAAGGGCTCCTCTAACGAAAAGTATTTCGGGGTTCTGGGTTAAGGGCTTGAGGGTTTCGGGTGAACCCCGGCAAGGACTGCCTAACTTCGGGGTTAGGGTCTGGTTTTTAGGGATCATAGGCTTTAGGGTTTAAGGTTTAGATATGTTCGGATGTTAAACCTTGGAGGTGTGAGTTGAGGATGTAGCAGTGGCCGGGTAGTTTACGGCAATTTTGAACCTAAGTAGTGAGGTAAGTCAACGTATGGACACAGGCATTTAAACGGGACCCATGGTTTTCTGAACTATCCACATTTCGGGGCTAGCGAACCCCTGACAAGTTTTACGGATTGCGAATCCCAGTAGTAGTGATACAAATTAAGCAGTACAACTACAACCCCACTTGGAGGTTCATAAGTAGTTATAAGTGAGGTTATTTATAAGCAGGGCAAAGTTATGACATGCTGAAACAAACCATATCTGGGGACTCATTAATCCAAGTATAACTACACTTGAAATTCCAAGCAGACCCTAAGCCCTAAGCCCGAGGCTCGGCACTTTGAGCCCATGCGCGAAACATCATGTGGGAGTTTCTGAATATTAGGGTGGGTGCCTTGTTTTGGGGTCCTTATAATAAGGATCCGACCATTTAGGGTACTATATTAGGGTCCCCTATTTTCGGAAACTCCCATGTAAGAGCAGCAACAATGACAGCAGCATCAACACTTTGTTGAACCCAGGCTCCGATTTTGCATCCCCAGTGCCAGCACTTGCTTAGTAATGGAGTTCAAGCCATACTATGGGCAACAGCACCCAAAACAACAATAATACTTGTTCGTCTTCAGCCTCATCATCACCACCATCGCAACCTATTGCCACATACATGTTTTCGTGACCCTGCGCTCACTTATATGGCTATTATTGCTCTTCACACGTATTAACCATTAGTACTCGTAGTAGTAATAATGTTATATTAGAAACCAAAGCTTCCAATGTAAGCTTTCCAAAGTCACAGGTTCCAAAAACCCATGTAAGTGCTAATCCCAAGTTCCGAAACCCTCAACTCTTGAACTTTCTTACCAGTCGTAGGGGCTGAGTACCCTAGCCCAAAACAGGTTAATCTGTCCAATTATAGCAGGACTATAGAAAACCCCAACAGGCTAAAGGTTAATTACTCAGCTACTTACCAGTCTTCCTGACACAACCTAAGCCCTAAAGCCTAAACCCTCAACCCTAAAAAAACCCTCAACCATGCACCCTAAAACCTAAAGCCTCAACCCCAAAAACCTACCCCCCCCCCCCCCCAAACCCTCAACCCTGAAACCTAAACCCCCTAAACCCTAGAACCTAAACCCAAAGCCTAAACCCTCAACCCTAAATTCCCTAGACCCTAAACTCCTGAACCCTCAACCGCTACCCTAAAAGCCTCAAGCCTAAACCCTCCCAGAGACTCCAATACCCCCTAACCATAGGGAATATACCTTAAACTCTAGTAGGATCCCTAATACGATTTAAGGAATACTCCGTAATTCAGGGATATTCCTGAAAATTATAGTTGGATCCCTTTTTTTAGGAATATTCCTTAATTAAGGGATATTGGAGTCTCCGGGCTCCCTGCGGCCCGGGGAGCTCGAAAACACCAGGGCCATTCCTCTCCAGCAGCTCCCCGAGCTCGAGCCTGGTCGGTGAGCTTAGGGTTTAGGTCCCTTTAAAGGGATACACCCCTAAGTCATCCAAGGGTTCCTATAAGGGATCTACAGGGTTGTTTATAAGGGATCTACAGGGTTTAGGGGTTTAGGGGTTGAGAGTTTAGGGTTTGGGGGTTTAAGGGGTTTTCAAGCTTATCCAAGGGTAAGGAGGGACCCTCCCTAAAGCCCCTGTAATGTCCGGTCAAATCTCTCTCCCCCCGCACATCTGTAAAACACCACAACTCAAAGCCTAAAGGGAGGGACCCTTAAAAAGGACCCCAAGGTATATACCCTGCAAGCGAAGCTTGAATTGCTCTTCTACGCAAGTGTGTTGCGAGCATCGCAAGTGATTCCGCAGCTCGTGCAGTCATCAGAGAAAAAGGGGTGCGGCCCAGATTGTAGGCACTGCGAGTCCGTGCCATAGTATCAGCGGTGCGATCCCATCTTTGTGTGCTGTCTATCGCTTGGGCGACGATCAACGACTATCCACTGCGGGCTTGGCGCTCGCATGGTAGCGGAGCCAAGAGTGGGGAAGCTCTTGGCTCGGTAGTTCCAGGGACCGAGGAGAAACTTCAACCGCTAAGCCGTTGAAGATGACGAGTGCAACTGCAGTGACCGGAGTTGTTCGAAACAAGGACGGCGTGCCAGCATGGGACGGCAGCAGCTCTACGTATCAGGAGTACGAAGAGTTGTGCCTGCTGTGGCAGGAGTCTACCGAGTACCACAAGCGATACTTGAATGGACCAAGGCTAGCAGGCGAACTGTCCGGACCCGCAAAGCGACTGATCTTGGGAAAGCCCGCGGGATGGCTTTCGCATCCGAATGGGGTGCACACACTGCTGGAGTATCTACGCAGCTGCTTGGGGCGGCCTCAGGTGTCAGAGCTATCGGATTTCTTGAATCGATACTTTCGTCAGGGACGACGGAAGGCCGGGGAGTCTATGTCAGACTATGTTACCAGGAAATGCGAGATGTACCTGAGGGCGCAGCAAGCTTTGCGGCGAGTTCGGCCACACCATGGACCTGGAGTGGCAACAGCAGGCGAGGCAGATCATCAACCAGGTGGGTACCGTGATGGTTATAGACGAGCTAGCTGGGATTCTACCACGAGCGCGACCACCAACGAAAGCAACCCAGCAGCACCTGTCGCTGCCGCCCCAGCGGACGGCGGTGATGGGGACGATGAGGCCGAGGAGCAGGACGACTGGGGCAGAGGCTACCAGAACAGGTGGGGCTATGATGGCCAATGGGGAACATGGGACCATGGGAGAGCGTGGAATTCCTGGAATTGGGGATATGGGTCGTACTGGGACCAGGGATACAATGGTTACTGGAAGGCGCCCGATTATCGCAGGAACAACGACGCTCAGACTCTCGTGGACATCCTGCCCGACTTCGTACAGGCCTGGTACATGTTGCAAGATTCTGGACTCGACGTACACGACCGCAACATGATCCAGACAGCAGTGGGAAGCAACTTCACACTGCAGAGAGTGTCGCAGGAACTGCGAACACAATGGCCAGACCACGAGTTGAAGCGGAAGGACCAAGGACATCGCCACACCGGGTTCTGGGGAGAAGCTCAGGAGACCAGCGACAATGAGGCCGAGAACGAAGAGGACTACGACCGAGGCTACTGGATGGATCAGGGAATGAATGAAGAAGGTTTGGCGGCAATGGACGCTGCCGAAGAGGACATCCAGGAGGCTTTGGCAGCGATGCAGGGAGCTAAGCGCACCTTGAAGGAAGCCAGAGCCAAGCAGAAGTACGTGAAGCTGTCCAGGAAGTACTATGGATCAACAGGCCAGAAGTGGTCCGGAGGCCAGCGAGGCCCCAAGCCGGACGACAGCAAGATGCAGTGCCTCAAGTGTGGGCGCATCGGGCATCGCGCGGCCAACTGTCCCGATCGGAAGGACACGCCAGAGCCGCAGCATGCACCCTTTGTGTGTTTTGGTGACATGGACATAGCCTGGGCCAATGGGACAAGCATGACAACAGAGGAGGCCGTCCGTGAGGGCATGGCGGTGATCGACGGAGGAGCCACAAAGACACTGGGATCGATCGAAGCTGTGGAACGACTGATGGCGAAGAACTGTGAACATCGAGGACACGATGGAGTTCGCGACATCGACCCCAGCAATCGGCCAGTGTTCTCATTTGGGAACTCGAGCAAGAATCGCTGCGCCTCCACTGTACAGATGTTGCTTGAAGCGGCCGGAAAGCCTGGCCAACTTCAGATACATACGCTTGCCGAGGGCACAGGCCCAATTCTTCTTTCAATTGACACATTGAGGGCTCTGAAGGCTGTTATAGATTTTGAACAGGACGTGATTGTGTTTCGAGCCCTGGATGGCCGTAAGCTCATCCCCGTAACCCGTTCTGCAACGGGCCACCAGCTGATTCCGCTCTCGACCGATCTTTTCAAGAACGCCTGGACAGCCAAAGAGGCAGTCCCGAGCCTCTTGTCATACAAGAGGGCTGAGGCAGCAGAGTAGGGACAGCTCCTCTCGTCGGTTGAACCTGACAGCAGTCGAGAGGTTTTTGTATTATCAGGAGTTGGGGAAAGTGGGCAGATCAATCCTAATCGTGTGCCAGGGGAATGTACTACGGTTAGGTTTGCGAATCCAGAGTCTTCTGAAGAGTTTGAGCGTGAGCAACCACAGAGTAACCCGCGGCCAGCGCCTCAAATACTCAACCGGAGCCGCACGCCTTTGCCATCGCCTACCCGTAGCGAACATGTCCCTCAACAAGAAGACCAAGTCCGATTTGGCGAAGATGCTCCTGGAGGAATTCCACGAACATGCACACACAAAGTGGACGAAGGCGGAGATCGCTTGTCGGATTCGCGAACTCCAGGAGGCTCAGGGACAGAACCCGTTTGCCAAGGGCAAGAATCGGACCCCGCTTCGCGAGCAAGTGGTTCAACTGAACCGGCACAAGAAGAACAAGGCGATGTTGACCGAATATGTGACCGCGGAGATGGGACTGATGCTGAATGGCAACGAGACAGTGGAGCAGATCGAACATCGGGCAATCAAGGAGATTTACAAGATCGCCCCCGCATCACCGGAGGACCCAGTCGGATTCGGCCGCCACGCCAGCCTCAGCTATGCCGAGGTACGCAAGGAGCACCCCGGCTATGCAACCTGGGTGAAAAAGATGGCTGCCGAGACGGACGATGTGGATCCACGCCTGCGCCGCTATGCCACGTGGCTGGGCAACACGACTTCGGAATCACCTCCCGAAGTTCTCAAGCTGGTCGGAAGCCAGCTGCGCGAGCCAACGCCCGAGCCACCTACGACCAGTTCGACCAAGGCATCCAGCTCGACGGGCTACCCCAGCGAGGAGACGAATGTGCCGACGCAGCTGCTTCAGCAGCTAGTGATGACGGTGAAGAACTTGCAGGAGGAGATGCAAGAGATGAAGATGAAGGAGCCCGAGAAACCGCGGAAGCAGGCCAAGGAGAGCGACGCCGGCAAGTCATGAGCGCGAGTGAACGGCTCAGTGAAGTTCTGCGTAGACCTAGGAGCCACCACGTGTCCGAAGCCGAGGGTGATAGTCCAAGTGCTAGCCATAGTCGGAACCTTAGAGAAGGTCACGAGCTTAGCGATAGTCGGGCCCTTAGCTTAACTAAGGCGCAGCAATTGGAACGACAGGCTTGGGACTTAGCACCTAGTATATTTCAAGGGCTGGCGGCTCAGGACAGAGTGGTTCTAATGGAAATCGCATGTGAACCCGACAGCCAGCTTTCTGCGGCAGTGCAAAGCCACATGGGCGACACCGGAGCCGCGGTAAGAGCGGCCCTGTGGAACTCGTGTGACCTAGGAACCACCGCAGGGGTGAAACTGATTTTGGATCGCATTCAGGTCGAAAGACCACAACAGGTCTGGATCTCGCCTCCTTGCGGACCCTACAGCCCTATGCAGAATACCAATCAACGAACGGAAGAACAGAAACAGAGGCTCCAACAGAAACGTAGGGAAGCGCTGCGTGTGTATGTCGGTGCTGTGTGTGTGTGTGTTTCACGAGTGCATGAAGTTAGGCTGGCATACACTGCACTTGGGAGATGTCAGAGTCCTGCAATGCTTGGAGGTTGCCCCTGTTACAGCGTCTTAAAAACAAGTATGGCTTGCATGAAACGGTGGTGAAGGGCTGTGCTGTGAACCTGCGTCATTCTAAAAACCAAAGGCTGATGAAGAAAGGATGGAAGATGATGACTAGTCATGCTCGGATGGCGGAGGTGATGAGATTGCCATGTCGTTGTCACCGTATGTACGAACATGCGAAGTGTGAGGGAATAGAGGCCAGTAGGAGCGCGCAGTACACGCCGGAGATGTGCAAGAAGATAGCTCAAGTGATGTGTCAAGAGCTGGATAACAGCTCCCTGCAAGCTGAGAGCGTGGGACAGACCTTGTTGCCCACCTTGTTTGGCATGGGACGGACGTGTACGTGTGCTGAAACAAAGCTTCCAGAGTGCGAGCAGATGTGTGGCAGCTGCTTACACCACGACAGCATTTGGCAGCTAGGGTGCGTTCAGCCTAGTAAAGGAGAAGCCAGGCAGGATTCAGGGAAGGTGATAGGAAAGGGTGTTCAGGGCGAGCCCCCAGGTCCTCAGGTAGGGATGAGCACAGGTTCGTCATGGGATTCACCCCAGTCACTAGAGGAGGATAGCTACTACAGTCGGGAACAAAGAGCCAACACCGAAGCATACGCGCAGGACCTGATACAACGGACAGATTATTCATATGAGGCATGTGCGAGCCTCTTGGAACGGTGTCAGAGCCTGGGAAAGGTGAACCAGCGTAGGATGGCGAGGGGTCAAGAAGGTACGCAAATGGTGTTAGGTAGGTACGTGTATGGTAAGTTCCAAGGGAACTCTAGAGCGACCAAAGAATTCCCCCAAACTGTGCAATACCTCAACCAATACCTTAGGCAGCGACTTCCTTCTGAGGCTCGTTGGACCTCCATTGCTGTGACCTGTAACCTAAAGGCTCCAATCCATCGTGATTTACAGAATCAAAGTGGATACCCCAATTGGTTGCATGGAGTAGGACAGTACCAAGGCGGAGAGTTGTGGCTGGAAGTTCTCGAGACATACTCAGGAAACGATGTGGAAGTGCAACAAACTGAGGATGGCCAACGGCTCCGGGGAAAAGTGGTGCCCACGAGGCACGCTGTGGTGCAGTTCGATCCTAAGGCGTGGCACGGAACGTGTGACTTTGTCGGCAGCCGATATGTTCTCACGGCATATGTGTGTAGGGGTCACGAACAAGCAGACAACCAAGAGCGCCAGCAGTTACTCCAGAGAGGTTTCGCGTTACCAGAAAGAAGAGAAGAAGACAGAGAGAGAGAGAATTCGGCTCAAACGGCAGAGGAGCAGGCGTGGGCTGCAGGAGGCGTTCGAGGAGCGTTTCAGCCGAAACTTGATGATGAGAAGATTAAGAAACAACTTTATCTGCTACATGCTGCCACGGGTCATGGAAGCACGAGACACTTGATCGAGGCTCTCCGAAGAAGGGGAGCCAGTGAACGCGTGTTGAAGCTGGCGCAGGAGTTCCAATGTCCCATATGTGTTGAAAAGAAACGAATCGGAAGTCGACATGTTGCCACACTGGAGCCATTACCCCCAAAGTTTAGCACCATCTCAGCTGACATAGGGCACTGGAGGCACCCGGGAAACGGGGAACATGTTCAATTCATGGTTGTGATCGATGAGACTTCGCGATTTCGAGTGGCTAAGGTGTTGACCCGAGGCCTGAAACAAAGCCCCAGTGCGGCAGTATGCCTACAGTACTTGCAGGAGGGCTGGAGTGAGTACTTCGGTCAGCCGCGTGTTCTGCGCCTGGACCCAGCAGGAGCCTTCAGAAGTCAAGCAGTGGAAGCTTTCTGCGATCGACATAGCATACATGTCGACCTGATCCCAGGAGAGGCGCACCATCAGATAGGAATTTGTGAACAGGCGGTAAAAGGTCTAAAGGAAGTCATGACTAAACTGTGCGAACACGACCCTGACCTTACTCCTGAGGAAGCTTTGGCCACTAGCTTAACTACGTTCAACTGTCGCGAAGTGATCAGAGGGTTCTCACCCATGCAGCATGTGATGGGCCAGAATCCTGACCTGACAGGAAGGTTCACCGATGAAGGACAAGCCAATGGTCTAGGCCGCCTGATTGAGAATCCAACGGGAGAGATACAGCGGGCTACACAACTTCGGGCAGAGGCCGAGAAGGCACATGCCGATTGGAATGCGGCACAGCGAATCAAACGAGCCATGAATTCACGATCCAAACCCGTCTACGATTATGTACCAGGAGAACTGGTCTACTACTGGCGTAGTCAGGACTCGGAGAAAGGTCGCAGACAGCCCGGGGGAAAACATGGAAGATTCCAGGGTCCTGCCAGGATCCTAGCGTTGGAGACACGCCGAGATAACCAAGGAAATCTCAGGCCTGGTAGCTCCGTGTGGTGCGTCCGAGGCCGCAGCTTGGTTAAGTGCGCTCCTGAGCAGCTAAGGCGCGCGTCAGAAAGGGAAGAACTCGTGGAGAGCTTGGTAGCAGGACAGCGAGCCACTCCCTGGACTTTCACCAAAGTAGCAGAGGAAATAGGAGGGAATCAGTATCAGGATGCTACTAAGGACGTCCCGAGTCTAGAAGAGTGGCGTAGAGCCCAAGACTTGGAGGAAGAAGAGCCACCAAGGAGGCTACGCGTCCGTGGAAAGCGCCCAGGACCTGATTCAGACGCCCAGCCTAGAGACCCAGAAAACTTGCCAATTGAAGATTCCGATGAAGAACTGATACCTGCTGGACCCCCACATGTACGAGCCAGGTCTAGCCACGAGCCACAGGGGTATATGCAAGCAGGCCATTGGTGTGAGGACGTGAAGGAACATGTATGGGAATCAGAACCATGTGCGTACTGGCAAGAACAGTCTGCTGCTGTGGAAGTTTCCGTAGCATGGCCTGAGACAAAGAGAGCGCAGGAATTGGCCATGAGAGATCTGGGCAGCTACTTTGTTGGCGCATTCAAACGGAGAACTGCAGAAGTCAGCGAGAAGCACATGAATGAAGAAGAACGCAAGATGTTTGCGGGAGCTAAGGCGGTGGAAGTCAAGAACTTCGTGGCAGCTAAAGCGTTCGAAAGCATACCCGAACATCTGAGGCCGAGCCAGGACCAGGCCATGAACATGCGGTGGATCTTAACGTGGAAGCTTCGAGATGACGGAACTAGCAAGCCGAAGGCAAGGGCCGTGATATTAGGATATCAGGACCCCCAATACGAACATAGAGCTACAACTTCTCCCGTCATGAATCGACAAACCCGACAGTTCCTGTTGCAGGTTGCCGCAAACCACAAGTGGTCAGTATACAAGGGAGATGTGTCGGGAGCCTTCCTCCAAGGAAGGCCATATCCAGAGGACTTGTTCTGCATACCGTGCCCGGAGATATGCGAAGCCATGGGAATCCCGATAGGAACGGTGACGAAGATGAAGCGCGCGTGCTATGGAGTGGTAGATGCACCGCTCGAATGGTATCGGACGGTTTCCGAGTTTCTTGCTGAATTAGGCTTCGAACGACAGTGGTCGGATGCGTGCTCTTGGGTCAAACGCAAAAACGGTAAGATCCTAGGAATGGTTGCGGGACACGTGGATGATTTCTTGTTCACGGGCGAGGAAGAGGATCAGGAGTGGCAGGACATCATCAGGCGCATTAAGGAAAAGTTCAACTGGGGCGACTGGGATAAGGATACGTTCGTCCAGTGTGGGGTGCATGTCAAAAGGACCGAGGAGGGCTTCGAGATGTCACAACCACAATACGTGGCTGGGATCTCAGAGATTCCAGTGAGCGCAGGCCGTAGGAAAAACCCGGAAGAAAGCACTAGTGAGAGAGAAAAGACACAGTTGAGAGCGTTGTTAGGTGCTTTGAGCTGGCATGCGCAACAAGTGGCACCGCACATCGCGGCAGAAGTGTCACTGCTTCTTTCAGAAGTGACCTGCAGTACTGTGCAGACGATATTGAAAGCCAATACCTTGCTGCATAACACTAAGGCCCGAAAGGAGCATAAAATGCTCATCCGAGGCTTTGGAGTTCAAGAGCGCCTGGCTCTGTATGGCTGGGTGGATGCCGCCTCCCAGAACAGACCGGACGGAAGCAGCACCCAAGGCATCTTTGTGGGAATAGGACCAGAAGGAATTCTCCAAGGAGAAGTTGGATACATAACTCCTGTGTCATGGCAATCTTCTAAGATTGATAGAGCATGTCGTAGCCCAGGGGCAGCCGAAGCACAGGCCGCCATCAACGGTGATGACAGTCTGTTCTATGCTCGATACCAATGGGGAGAACTGATGCAGGGACGTCCGAAACCCAGAAAAGGTAGTGCAGAGGATCCCCGGCTGCATTGTGACAGACTCACGGAATGTGTTCGACAAGATGCAAACGGAGGTGCTCTCAATTAAGGGGGCTGAGAAGCGCACGAACATAGAAATGATCAGCTTGAAGGAGTCGCAGCAAGCTACTGGCATTCAGATCCGGTGGGTACATTCGGAAGCACAACTGGCGAATGCACTGACCAAGGCAGGCAACGCAAAGGAGCTCGAACTGTTCTATCGAATGCAACATCGATGGCGCATCGTGGAGGACCCGCAGATGAGATCAGCTAGGCGGCGAAGGACCGAAGGGTTGGATCCGCTAAAGAATTCTGGGGAAGACTCTGTGATTAAAGGGGAACAACAGATAAGGAATGATCTGCCTACGAGGGGAGTAGGGGGGCATGCAAGCGAAGCTTGAATTGCTCTTCTACGCAAGTGTGTTGCGAGCATCGCAAGTGATTCCGCAGCTCGTGCAGTCATCAGAGAAAAAGGGGTGCGGCCCAGATTGTAGGCACTGCGAGTCCGTGCCATAGTATCAGCGGTGCGATCCCATCTTTGTGTGCTGTCTATCGCTTGGGCGACGATCAACGACTATCCACTGCGGGCTTGGCGCTCGCATACCCTTAATATAGCTAGTATATACCCATTATATAGCCCGTTATAGGGTAGGGGTCCCCATTAAGGAGGGGTTTAGGGGCTTAGGGGTTTAGGGTTTAAGGGTTTAGGGGTTTAGGGTTCAGGGTTTTGGGTTTAAGGGTTTAGGGTTTCGACTCACACACTCGCACAAGGCAGGCATGGCTTCAGATGCTAAGTCCGCCGAGCTTGCTACTTGAAAACCAAGGGGCAAAGAGTGATAAGGAACACCAAGACCCAACAGTAGCCAGCCAGCCAAGTACAAAAGGGGCAAGTACGTTCTGACTGTCCCATGGTGCTTCGAGGGAGAGGCTCAATGTGGTCTCTCCAGGCAGCATACTATTTCAAAATATGTCAGTATGTTTATCAGGGTCTGTATAGTCATGCTACTGGCACCCGCAGAGACCGGATTGCAAAAGAAACACCATAACCCACCAACAGTCAGCCCAAGAATGGAGGTAAGCATATGGTTCTGACTGTCCCCTGGTGCCTCGGGGGGGGGAGGTTCATGCGACCTCTCCGGATTGTATGCTTTGCAAAAAACGTCAGTATGTCTGTCAGGGTCTGTATGTCGAGTGCAAAAGAGTTAGGAGATGATGTATGGCGACAACAGGAGGATGGTCGCATAAGAACACAAACAGAACAGAACAGGTATATGTATGAAAATGAAGCGCATACTCAAGATTATATACTCGCCATACGCTCATTCTCACCAACATCAATGGATGGACCGCAGGCTCACACAACGGACACCTCGAGTCTGGGAGGATTCCCGAGCTGCTTGCTCGGACAGCATCGTTCTCCTTTTTTTAACTCGTTCGCCTTAGCCAGCTTCGATTTTCTTTAGTTCAGACTTCCTTTATTCGGCACCAGCGATGCGAGCCTTGGTTCATCAGAATGGCGCAGTGCAACAAACGCAAGGGTTATGGATGTCTCTGGGGACCGTCTTTGTTCAAGACCGAACTAAGAAGTTGTCCACCTCCTTCAAAGCCTGTCTCTTCCTCTGGTTGTGCCTTTCGAGTCTTTCCTCACTCCAGCTGGTTCCGTCGTTGGATCCTGAGCTCAAAAAGGTAATATACCTCTGATGCTCCCCACTCGTCTTTGCCACAATGTCCGCAGCATAGTAGAGGGCCTTTTTCTGTGGCGATGTATCATATCGATACCTCCGCGCAGCTGAATTTGTTCGCTGCCCCAGACGAAGAAGAGTCCCTCATTCTTTCTGTCCTTCCAGGGCCTGTCTGTTGGGAATTCGGACCGTGACAACTGTGCAGCCTCCTCTCCTTTCTTATAAAGAAGGTTGAAGGTTACTTTCTCGAATTCCTCTCTACCTCTACATTCCCTCCCTCCCAAGCCGTAAATCCCCCAAACGCTAAACCCTCCAAAGCCCAAGCCCTCCTCTTCGCTAATCCAGCCCGAATGAACTTCTTCGTGGCCGTGGTCGGCAACATGCTCCGGGGGAGGTACACGAAGACCTGCGAACGAGGGGTGCCTAGGTAGGGCCAGGGACCTTAGCCTCAAAGCCTCGACATTTTTGATGTCAAAAGTAAAGCCGCTTAGAAGAGCTCTCTATACAGATAGATACCTGGCGTTCAGGGTTTTGGCGTTCACACACAGAGTTGCATAAGTTCTCCATCCCTCAAGCTACACCGCTCTTTTTTCTATCATCTTCATTCCAAGACGTAGCGCCCTGCTTGCATCGCGCATGGTATCCATCTAAGACTCCTCCTTCCTGAATCCTGGCCGATCTGAAGGTTCCCTAAACCCTAAACCGGCTGATCCGAGGGGGGGTTCGCTCCATGGGGCGAAAACTTGAGGGTCATACTTGGTCAAGGGAGGAGCCTTGATGTCTGTGTTTTCTGGATTGGCTCGAGACTTTCTGAAACTGTTTGCAGGTCGGCTTAAGATGAGTTTGCACTCACTGCATTATAACCGTTATTTGACCCGAAAGGCTTACCTTTAGTTGCATGACAACCCTTATTTCCGAAAGGCTTACCTTTAGTTACTTTAGCTCCTCTACAACACTAGAAGGTAGGTCTTTAGGCTTCTATGGCTCCTTCTTTTCGATCGTTTCAAAAAGCCCTGGGCTCACACAGGTTGAGTTAAGTTGCTTGGGAGACTTCCCAACACCGCTAAGCCCAAGGATGCATCAAACCAGCAATACTGGTCATGAACCCTAAACCCCAAATAACTAATCCTACAGCCGCAGACATTGAACCTAAAACTCAAACCCGAGACCCTAAACCCTTGCCTTCAAAGATCCTAAACCCTTAAACATTTAACTGCAAGACCATGATTATTAGTCCCTAAATCATACACCCCCTTGCAGGATACCTCAAAGCAACCCCCTTTGTAAAAATTAAAAACCCTCCCCTGAATCCTAAGCACTACACCTGATCGATGGATCCCTTAAAGCATCCTGCAATGCTCTTCTCTAAAGGGTTTAGCGGTTTAGGGTTTTAGGGGTTTGGGCTTTAGGGGCTTAGGGTTTTAGGGTTTAGGGGTTTGGGGTTTTAGGGTTTTTTCCCTCCGGTTTAGGGTTTAGGGGTTTAGGGGTTTAGAGATTTAGGGTTGGGAACTCTTGGGAGGCCTCGGGCCGCATTACTTCGGACAGCTGCTTGCTCGAGTGGTCCACGATGGCCTGTTTCAGCAGCTTCTGGGGATCTTTACTCAGTTGGGGCTCTGCGGGTTGAGGGTTCAGGGAGCTTAGGGCCTAGGGTTTTGGCGGGTTTTTGGGGTTCAGGGTATCGGGTTGAGGGGTTTAGGGTTGAAAGAATTGGTGCTGTATACGGGTTTGGGTTTGGGAGGGAAATTTTAGCTTCGGGGTTTCAGGTGCTCCAGGAATCAGGGGTGGGAGCGGTATAGCAGGCTCTTATAGGTTCTGGGTGTTGAGTTGGAGCATTCCGGGGAACGTTGTGGGGTCTTGTCGGTTGCAGGTTTTTAAGCTTGAGGATTGTGGTCCCAAAGGCTCTTGGTGGACACCTGCTTTTTGGCTCTTGGCGGAGGGGTGGGGGCGAAAGGTCACGAAGCCTCGGGGCTTCAAGCTTGGTCTAGGGTTCAAGGGTTTCATGGTTTCGGGATTCAGGTTTAGGGGTTTAAGGGTCTTTGGTGTCGGTGACCTTCATGCTCTTGGAAGTCGGGATGCTAAGGTGATGGCCGAAAGCCTGCCTCGTAGGTTTACACGGTTAATATAGGGACCGTAGCAATTAGAATAGGGTTTGGGGGGCCCACTGGACTACAACTATGAGAAGGAACCCCCCAAAATAGTAGAGGTAATAGTTTAGGCCATTTTAGGACCTTCCAAAAATCCCTGGGCACCCTAGTAGGGACATACAGTACGAGATCCCTCACCTGAAGAAACCCCACGTCTCAGCCTCTCAAACTCCGCTTCAGGGCATCAACCTTTACCCCGAAGTGCTAAACTCGTCATCCTAAATTGTAACGTAGAAGAAGACAAAATAGGGGATCCTAATAGGGTACTCTAAATAGTAAGATCCGTAAGGGCCCCAAAGCAAGGTACCCCTAAGTTTCGGAAACTCCCATGTCTTTCTTGCAAAGGATTATTGTAGCGTAGAAGAAGACCCTTTGTCATTGTGGGCCCATCATCAATGACCGATTCCGGCGTTAAGAAGACCTCGGAGAGTCCCTATTTGGGGTGAATCAAGGGTCTAAAGAAAGGGCGTTAAACGAATCCGCATTCAGGCTTCCATATCAAACCTGAACCCTGAAACCCTAAACCTGTATTAAACTCATGTGAGGAAGCTGGTCGGTTCTGCTGGCGGTGAAAACCGACACTGAAGGCGGAGTTTCAGTTCGCACCTTCGGCGGCACGTCTTCAGGTCGTAGACCATCCTCCGCTGAAGCAGTCATGGACAATGAATGCTGACTAATTTAACTAGAGTTTAGGGAATACTGTAAAGTTTAGATAGAGCCTAGTGGTTTGGGGGTCTGGCGTCATGGGCAAGCAACTGCCAGCCACAAGCCCCGTGCCCCAATGTTCGAGTATTTCTGAAACCTTTCGCGTATATCTACAAGGCCACAGAGCCCAAATAATGGGCTTCAATCCATGTCACATGCAGAAAGTCCACAGCTCCAGTACACATAAGATAACATATTCTGCAACCGACTTCTTCCTTACCACGAGTTGTGGACCATGTCTTTTAGGGCCCCAGACCTACACCACAAAACACCACCCAGGTTACTGGGAACCAGCAAAATCAGAATTCTACTCCTTTTTTACTGCAAAGGTGTTTCGGGGTTTTTGATCATTAAATATTCAGAAGCGTAGGTTCGGGACGTGGATTCCTAGAGAACCCACCGTATAACCCTAAAGCAACGCGCGTAAAGCTCTGAAGAAAATCCCAAAACCTGTAAACCCTAATGAGCCCCTCTATAAAAAAAATACAACCCTTGTAAAACCCTTGAAGCCCTTTCAAAACCTGTAAACCCGTACCTGTATAAAACCACTGAAACACTCGAACACCCTTCTAGACCCCCTTGAAGATTTGCGACAGAGCTGTCCTCGAGTGCCAGGGCGACGGCAATGCACTCGCCAAGGGCCTGGCGACTAAAACGACTCCTAAAAGCCTGAAAAAAGGCATTTTCCCTTCTACTGAGGCTTAAGGTCTAGGGTTTATAGGGCTTAGTAGCAAGGACGAGACCACATTGCAGGGTAGAACAAGGGTTTGAGGGTTTGGGTTTAGGGGTTTAGGGTTAAGGCAGCTCAGGTCAAGATGTGGCCTCTTTCCCGGCAACCTGACCACTCCGACTTCCTTCCCAATCCCATCTTCCGGCCCTAAAAATCTTTAATAGCTGAGTAGGTAACCTCTAACCTTGTGGGGTTTCTAAAATCCTACCATAATTGAAAAGCTAACCTTTTTGGGGCTAGGGTACTCAGCCCCTAAGCACCTAATTCCGAGCCTTAATCTCGGAGGCCTCACAAGGTGGGATGAAGGTAGGTAGGATTAAGGATCCCTTATATAAGGCGCGCGCGCCTAAAAAAAACCACCCTGAAGACAAAACCTACAGAGGAGCGGCCGAGGGAAGTGTACAAAAGTGTGGCAGGCGCAGCAAAATCGCACGTTTTGACCTTCCCCAGCGGTATTGTGGCAGAAGCAAAAACGGGACACGATTTCGTGTCCAGTTTTCTGGGCGCCCTAGGCGACCATCAGTGCTATCATCATCGATGTCAACATCGCTATCATCCTCACAGCCACCATCGATATCACCATCATCTTCATCATTCTCATCATCATCGTTATCATCATCGTCATCAATGTGTTGAGCAGTGGGCCATTTGTGTGCTGGGAAAAGCCGGCCTGAATTTATTCTCCGGACCTGGGCTGCAAAGCTAGTCTTACGGCAGAAGGCGAAAACACTGGTGGGGCCGATGACTTTGAAGGTCGCGGCAAGTTTGTTGAGGTTTGTGGGTGGAAAAGGTATGGGGCAAAAGGTCTTTGCACAGTCACCTTTGCCAGATCGCCAGGTCATCATCATTGCTACCACGATTGTTATCATCATCGTCATCATCATCGTTATCATCATCGCCATCGCCATCGATATCATCGTGACCATCGTAAGTTTCATCAGCATTGTTGTCTTCCTCGTCGTCAACATTTCGAGCGGTAGTTTTTTTTAGGCGCGCAAGCCATATATAAGGACTCTCATTTTGGAATATCCCACCTACCTTCATTCCACCTTTTGAGGCCTCCGATAATCTCATCTCCAAGCTCGGAAACGCGAGACCTCCACACCCCAAAATCCTGGAACTGGTGTAGGGTTTACCTGGACCCCAAGGAACCTACCTTCTTAGAGCCCCGTGATGTGATTTCTTTATATAAGTCCCTAAAAAGGTAGGCTATTTGGGGTTGAGGTAGGGTTTAGGGATAATGGTTTAGGACTCAGGGCCTAGGGTTACGAGAACCCGAGACCGCCAAGCCTATAAATAAAAGTCCCAAACTTCAACCAAATTTTGGTTAGGGTTTAGGGTTTAGGGTTTAGGGCTTAGGGCTTAGGGCTTAGGGTTTAGGGTTTAGGGTTTAGGGTCCCAAGGCCCTAAGCCCCAAGACGAAGGACCTGGTGAGGAGCCGCAAAGCAGACTGCGACATCGACGCCCGGAGTCGATGTCTGAGAAGGCTTGGGGTTTGCGCGGTGCAGCGACTTTCTTTTTGACGGATGCTGCTACAGATACAGCAGGAAATACGAAGGAACACGACTGCAAATTTCAAGCTCCTATCAAACTTGGGTGTCAGTCACGGTTTGCAAGCAAAACGGAGCTTCCGAAAATTAGGGGTGCCCCATTTGGGGGTCCTTATAACAAGGATCCTACTATTTAGGGTACTCTATTAGGGTCCCCTATTTCCGGAACCTCCCAAATGCTGCCGAGGAGCCAAGGCAGGTTCAACTTCATGTGGGTTGATGGTCTCGCCGCCACCTGGGGAGTTGTTCTGGGCTTCTGCAGGGTGTAGCGGGAGAACCGCAAACCGCAACCGGCACTTATCTAGCAGGGGCTTTTAAAGCCTTCGAAACATATTAGTAGGTAAGATCCTCTTAAGCACAATAAGAGCAAAAATAGAATGTCCCGAAGCCCTACCTAGCTATCTGTAGCACAGAAGACAAGCCCATATCTCGCGGCGCCTTTTGCAACAACCACGGTTTTAGCACCACTCACAACTAGACAAGCAGGCGAGGATCCGGGTAGACAAGCGTTCAAGCACATTGGCTAGGTTGGCCCTTGAAAGCCTCTGAAAAATATTCGTAAATAGGGTCCTATCAAGCCCAATAAGGGGAAATATAACATGTCCCAAAGGCCTACCTAGTTGGCTACTCCCAAGCTACATTGGCCTCAGAGACTTCCTAGCCGTATCCTAGGGATGGTGAAATCACAATCAGGTGCAACCACGGTTTAGGGTTTAGGGAGCTCTGAAGCTGTCGAATCTTCGACACAACGGAGCCCTGGGATTGGTGCTTGGAGGTTCATGGGTAGTTATAAGGGTTCCTTTTAAGGGTCCCTTTAAAGGGTTGTCTAGAGATTGTATAGGGGTATAGGGTTTAGGGTCTACTTGGAGGTTCATGGGTAGTTATAAGTGGGTTATAAGTAGGGTATCTATACTTATAACGCGTATTGAGGGACTTACAACCCCACTTATAACGATCGATGAACCTCCAAGTACTGATAGTCAATATTAAGGATTGTATACTCAGGCCCTCCCCTGAGGGTCCAAGTGCCTAACTGTCATATCAACTCTCCAATTTGCGAAACAATAACCGTCAATAACCTACATAAATTCCCAAGTACCACGCTGAACCCGAATACATAATTCTTGGGTCCTTTGGACCCTTGGTGTATCCTATCCTATAATATAATTGTTTCTTCAATTCCGCGGACATGCGTTGACGGCACTTTTCAGGATTTTCTTTATTCCGGCCTTAGATGATCTATCCTATAATTGAATTAAACAACTCCGCGGACTTGAATTGACGGCTATTTTCAGGATCTTTTAGATGATCAGGCTGAGGTCAGATCGGTTGATCATCTCTTTGCAGCGACCGGTGAGGTAAAGCCATCCGTCTTGATCCTCAGGTTTTAGGGTCTCGCTGCTTCTCCAAGGAAACCTGGTACATGTAGCCCCCAAAAAAGGTGCCTTCAAGAACAGTGTGTCGTGCTGCATTATAGTGATTAATTATTAATTATACTGTACTTACAGCTTGAAGCCTCATACAATACCTCATTCTGATATTATACAACCATAATGATCGCATTATCCATATGGGGATCGCAAGCTTAGCCTTACACTTGCCCTGAGCCCTATAGTGATTATAGTGTACTTACAGCTTGGACCCTCATACAATATCTCATTCATTCTGACATTATACAACCATAATGATCGCATCATCCACATTGAGATCGCAAGCTTAGCCTTACACTCTGAGCCCTAAACCCTACAGGATCGAACCAGAAGGGGTTCATCCTCGGTCTTTGGGGTTTTGGGCTCTGAGGTTTGGGCTGAAGGTGCGTGGGTTGAGGCTTGTAAGGACAACGACTCGTTTCCCACCGAATTTACAGAAAGAAAACGCTACCTAAACCCCCAAAAGTAGGTAAACTAATGGCCCAAAACCATACACAGGGCATTGTTCTACATACTGCTGGGCCCCAGGTAGTCTCCAAAATACCCTCAGCCCTGACGCTTCAAATGACAGCGTACAAGGTGGAAGACTTGAACCGTGGAAACACAGATCGCCGGTACCTTTGCTGGCACGGGACAATAAAAGTGGACTGCACTGTCATGGGAAGCATGAGCGAGGGAGTCGAATTAAGCAAGCACGGCTATACCCAATGCTGAACTCTGAATGGCTTGTGGGTACCTGAAACAGACCATTACTACAATTATAATAAGGAACTTTTACATACCATAAGTATTTCGCCCAAAGCCCCAAAACCCCAAACCGTCCCAATGACTACGGTTATGTACAGCTATATGGTTGAAACTTTCCGACTACCTTCTTGAAGTGCAGCCGGAGGTCCATGTGGCCCAAATCACCTCAGCATCCGGCGGTTTCTTACTAACCGTAAGGCTGTTTTCGAAGAAGCTCCATTGCAGAGCGTGGATATGAAACCGTCAAGAGTCCCGAAATGAACCCTCAAAGCACATGTTCGCTTGCGCAAGCCGGATTGTGTCACAAGTATCTACCCTAGAGGCCCTAGAAGCGTTTTTGAACCGAGACTCATACTCGAAACCACTCAGGTTTTGGCCCCGGCTCCAGATGTAGGAATCTGATGAAGAAACCCTGGCCCTACAACCCCAAAATATTAGGATCCATGTATAAAGAGCCCACATAAAGACCCAGGGTTTCTTGTAATACCAGGGGCGCCGGTAAAGAGAGAGCTCTAGGTCAGCGCCGGTCACTGCATTAGGGACCTTCGGGGTAATAGAGTGCCGGATGCATCCTTCCCTCCCTCGCTATCTGTGCGGCGTGTGTTCGTCTGCTTGTGTTTTTCTCAACACGAGTATGTGTGTATGGTTGTGTGTGCATGTGGTCGAGCAGGTTCGAGGAAGATTCAAGCCCCTTTCTCAAGAGCGACTGACAACCGAAGTTCGGCGCTGGCTCCCGTCTGCAACATCGTGCTGGTCTAAGGGTTTAGGGTTTTAGGGTTTAGGGTTTGTGTTTCTGACAGCCAGAAAACTCGTTGCTGTCCATGCAGTGTGACGTGGCCGATGTTCTCTTCTTGTTATGGCTGAATTTGAAGCCATTGTCCGGATGTTCAGTTCCAGGGTCCCCATTGCAGGGTCGCGGTTGAAGTCCCGCACCAGTGCAGACTCAGTGCCTTTCTCATGCCTTGGCCCTTGGAAACAGCATTTCCCGCGACTGCCTGCTTTGAAGTCTTGGGCTACACCTGAACCCTCAACGGCAACAAAGTTACACCTCTGACAGCTCTGGTGCGGAGGCAACTTGCAGTCTTTTACTTGCGAAGTACGGACTGCAAAGAGTTGAGCAGCGGGTCGAGTCACTGCTGTGCAACACTGGATTGCACATTTCAGTCAGTGTCGCACCAAAAGCTTTCCCTATCAGAAACAACTTTCAGTCTTGACGAAGAAGAGCCTAGAGACCTAAACCCTCTCAGCCACCAAATTCTAAAGCTCTGAAACCGTGTTCTACATTCTTAAAGCCACCGGCCGACACCCAATATGAAACGTGAAGGCCTCACACAATCCTTAGCAACACCTCTTTCAGAACCCTCTGCATCCTTATGAAAGCCAGGATAATATAGCCAAGCTCTGCCTAACCCTGAAACCCAAGGGGAAAATATAGCTATTACATGCCTAGTATATACCTAGTATATAGCCCATTATAGGGTCCCGGGGTCCCCATTAAGGGTCCCTCCTCCCTTTGATGAAATCCTTTCAGGATCCTCCAGAGCCATTAAAAGCTCCAAGCCTTAATAACCTACCTACAGTCTTCATTGTAGTTCTTTTTTTGTGAACCAATTTTCTGGTTGGGATCCTCGAAAATGAACTGGGTTAACCCAAAAAAAACAAACTACAAAGGAGACTATAGGCAAACCCAGAAATCTAAGTAGAAGCCTGACCATCCTCATGCCCTTGAGATAAGGTACAGGGGATCCCAGCACATTCATCCTAGATCTATGTTCCAACTTTTCGTGGGAGCACACCCTAAACCCTGAACCCTAAACCCTATAAACCCTGAATGCAGCGCCAAAGTCTGCCAAAAAGCCAGTTCGGAGAAAGCCGCTGCCCCCGGAACCTTCCGTCCACGCCTCAACAACCGAAGCTCGTAGTGGCTTAGGGATATTCTAACTAAGGTTCGAGGCTTAGGGGGTTGGGCTTAGGATGGCTTAGCTTCTAAGAGCTTAGGGATTTAGTGTTTCCGATGTTGGCAGTATGGTTGAATCGCTCATTTCTCCCCTCCCCAGGTCTTTGGGCCTCTGGGATGTTGTAGGGTTTGTGCGAATCTCAGAGCCTCCAATATCCCTTAATTAAGGAATGTCCCTGAAATTATAGGAGGATCCCTAATCTGATTCAAGGAATATCTCTTAATTAAGGGATATTGGAGTCTTTGGGATGCGAGAAAACAATTCAGTCAACGCCGAAAGGACCGATAGAGGGTTCCCTGAGAGGTACCGCAAGGGCTCCTCTACGGGATCCAAAAGGGTTCTAGAATAGTTGTATAGTGGACTGCAGGGTTGCTCTATTAGGAATTGCTGCATATTATAATTTGGAAAAGTATCACCCGTAACACTGCCCAGGACCCTTACGTTGGGATTCGGTCAACACCCAAAGGACTACTTGCGTGACTCCTGTGAGGATGCTGATAACCCTCTTCGCTATGATCCCCCAGTCGCCAACTTCCACAAGCCGCACTTTGACGCTTACAAGCCGTGTACAAGTCAGCGGTCTATTATAGGGGCCTTAGAAGTTTCAATAGGGTTTTGGGATCTACTATACCAAAACTATAATAAGGGACTCCAAAACAGTATAGGTAGGTATTCAGGCCCCTACAGTATGTTTTGGGATCTATTATATTTATACCATAACTATAATAAGGGACTGCAAAATAGTGTAGGCAGTTATTCAGGCCCCTGTAGTAGCTGAAGGCAGGTGTAGGGTTTAGTAGGGCCTCTGCAAGGCCCGACGCAACTTTCCTAACGCCTAAATGAAGGTTTAAGGGCTTAGGGTTTAGGGGTTTGGGTTGAGGGTTTATGGTTGAGGTTTTACTTCGAGTGAGGAAGGGTGACGCATTTCCAAGTGTCTTTGTGCTAATTCAACTCCTTCGACTCCTCAGAGATGGTCCCATTGCGGAGGTACCCCGTACTTGTGCAGGATCCCCGGCAATCGAGTAAGCAGGGATCCCTTTTTGGTATTTGGTAGTTTTTCAGGGGCCTAAGACCACGAAGGAGGGAAAGGGACCCACAGAAGGAGCATGTCCCTGTGGCAGGGAGTGATGCAAACCAGGGTTGACTTCAATAAGTTCACGTATCGGGCTTCAAGCATTGGTGGCATCCTTGCTAAGCTTGCTGGGAAAAGGCTTAGACATGGGAAGCTGCATCTAGAACCTAGACCTTGTTCGCAACAGGCCTTCCACTTCTAGTAGACCTTAAAGAATATCTTGAAGTTAGCTTTGGGGACACTGATACCCTATTCACAGAAAGTGCTCTGAAGGTTTGCATACGGCCCCGGGAACATTCCATCGCCATAGTCTTTCGGGGTAGCCAAAGCACCCGAGTTTGGATCTACCGACATGCTCCCCTAAGGGTCCATGTTCCCAACTAGTGCATACCTTCGCGTTATAGTAATCTCCATTTCGGTCCTTTAGGGTCAACATATGTACTCATTGGGCACATGGGCGCTGAGGCTTCTAGCTTCGGGCAGAGGTCTGGCTTTTGCCGTAGACACTGTAAACCCCGAGAAAAACAGTGTGCGGCTAAACACCATTTGGCTCCCGACCTCGGCGTTTGGGTCCTCCTCTTGTGGCCCATGATGCTCGTAGCCTTCCATGAACCCAGAAGCAGCCGGGGAGTTGAGACATTGCTATCCCGTTGCTCAGAAACCTCGAACTACTAGAGTGGGGCCTTAATAACTAGACTCGTGTAGAACAAGATTGCGGGGTGTACTATACCATACCTGGTGCCATACCTATAGGGGTACCTTATTGTGGGGTCATTATAATAAGGATCCTACTATTTAGGGTACTATATTAGGGTCCCCTAAACCCTAAACCCTGCCATACCTCCATTCAGAAAGCGACAAATCTTTCAGGTTTCTTGGGAGGTAGGGATGCTTGAGCTCAGAGGCAGTGGGCCTGTGCTACTGTATTTCCCAAAGCTAAAGGTCCAAGTATCATTATAGTATACACTTATAGGGTACTTTGGGGGTCTAAGTATATACCATAATGATACTTGGAGCCTTTGGGTTTTGTTACGGAACTTTATTTGACACAATACGGAAGCCGATATTATCCCTGGTATGGCAACTTAATTAACTTAACTAAGTTGCTGAACGAGAACCCAGGAGCAGTCGGGCTACGAATGAGTGTTTCAGTTTAGCCTTATTAAGGGGGTTCTAGCGTTTAGGACTTAAAGTCTATAATATATCACTTTACCTCCCTTTTGCTGCACTAAAGCCCTGAACCCATCCTGCATGGCTCTCCTGGCCCAGGCTCGTCCCGCAAGGTTTAGTTCAGGCATCGATGATGACGCCAAACCCGGTACAGAACCCGCAACGCTAACAACTAAACTCTCAACATAGTGGCCTTTGGGTGCCCAGTCTTTGGGTGCTGTCAAAAACATGTCCTGTGTACAGCTATAAGGCCACAACCTTGTTCGGGTACGGCGTGTAGAGGTCGTGTCCCTACATGCTTTTCTACACATCAAAAACCAGAACGACACACGCGCGAGATGCATTTCACGACCCGCCTCGGCACGACTTGGACACCCCCCCGTGTGGAATTCCCCACCTTCTCTGGTCGCACTCCAAGCTCTGCGCGACACACCCCGAATGCTGACGTCCGATTGCGAAAGTTAGTGGTTTGCCGTAGTTGCGAATGAACCTCCAAGCCTTTCAACGAGACCCTTCTCCAGCGCATGGCGGACAATAACCCAACCAAACCTGCCAGCGCTGGCTCGCTCGCTGTCTCTCTGTCTCTCTGTCTCTCTGTCTCTCTGTCTTTTTGGCTCTCTGGCTCTCTGGCTCTCTGGCCCTCTGTCTCTGTGTCTCTCTGTCTCTCTGTCTGTCTGTCTGTCGGTCTGTCTGTCTGGTCTGGCTGTCTGCCTGGCTGTCTGTCTGTCTGTCTTTCGGTCTCTCTGTCTGTCTATATACACATTTGTGTGTAGATCATAGATGTACATAGGTATATATATATATATATATATATATATGTATGTATATGCACCTATGCATATATATATATATATATATATATGTATGTATACATATCTCTCTCTATATGTATATATATATATATATATACACGGACATATTTCTTTTTACACATACACGCAAATATCAGAAGTCCAAGTCTTGGATTCTGAAACATGCTACGCCCGAAGCTGAGCCTCCCATGACCAAAGCACCACGGATGCACACCTCGCCGGACAGAATCCGAATCTCGGCACCTCGCTGGCTGACACTCCTTGCGAAAACCCTGAACCCTAGCCCCCAAACCCAATGACGGGTTATAAGGGTCACGGCCTTTTCAACCCTTTACCCTAAACATCACCACCACCCATCCCACTCGTTGTCTTCCCAAGGATCTTCTGAGAGATGGTCAGACTTGAAAATCAGCGAGTCAAACACACTTACAACTGCATCTACCTGTATCTGTATAATTCTGTATGTATGTATGTATGTATGTATGTATGAATGTATGCGTGTATTAAATAAGAAGTATGTGACAAGTATGCGCATGAAATGGATACATTTGAAAGCGGTTTTAATATATGGACACACATCCGTATCCATATCCACATACGTAAATAAAGATAGACATAGACATATATTTCCGGTAGATTCATTCGCATGAATGCGCCGACATAGACTTCACAACTTCCGACCCCGTGTGCAGGAAGCAATAACCTTGTGAACAAGAAAATCCCGAACGTCTCAACTCTTCGGGTGCCCATGCTTTGGCGGGCATGGGGTCAAGCTGCGACTTTCTTAGGTTTCTGATCCGTAGAGTTTTTTGAGGCACTGATAAACCCACGCCCTAAGCCTGGGTTTAAAGGGCCTACAGGGTGTGCTGCTTGTTGTGTTTTATTTCAGTGTTTGGTCCTTGGCTTAACACCCGGTCTCCAATCGCACCTCCTTTCCTCTGATGATCTCCGATGCACGCAAATCCCGTCTTTTCGGGTCGGCAGAAACCGCACAGAACACCTGTAAGACAGTGGCCGTCACGATTAGAATAGGGGTTTAAAGCCTTGGGGTTCCTAGACAAGCCCCTCAAAAGTTGCAGAATCTCCAAAACCCCTTAAAGCGTCATACGTGTCCCCAAAGATTTACAAGCGATCCGAGATTAAGGGAACACGGCATTGGAGAGACAGGGATCTGTGCCGCTATCTGCGGTATCGCTCCTTCGCTGGAACAGAAAGAGCACCCACGAGAAATGAAAGGGTTTAGGGTTTAGGGTTTAGGGTTTAGGATTTAGGATTTAGGGTTTAGGGTTTAGGGTTTAGGGTTTAGGATTTAGGGTTTAGGGTTTAGGGTTTAGGGATAGAGGGCGCCCGCTTATCTGGAGTCCTCTGCGCTCCACGCAGCTTCGCTAGTTCAAGCCTGGCCCTGACGAGAAGGTTGACATTTTGAATAAGATTGTATACTTACGGTTCAAGGTTTAAGGTTCCTTGAACCCAAAACCGTAATGGGTTGCTTACTCAGCAAGAATCACACCCGGAATGTGACTTTAACATCAGCATCTTCATACCTTTTAGACTACTGCTTAGACGACAGAATATAGGGTGCAGAGCTTCCAACTGTTCCGACCCCTGTACCAATGTCCTTCTTGCATATCCAACTTCTCAGAGTCTTCGAGCTGACCATTTGTTGGCATTACCATGTCATCAAGAACAGTTCAGGTTCAAACGTGCAATGTAATGGGCTACACAATGACTAATATACTATTCCTTAGGGTTCCTGCTAAGATTTGTGTAGACTACACTCTACCCAAGAACCTGAATCTACAATATGCCCTCGAAGAAAATGTCCGACGGTGTCCACATCGAAGCAACTGTCCTAGAACAGGGTTTGGAATTTAGGTTTTATAGCTATTCTAGGTTGGCCCCTTAAAGCCTCTGAAAAATATTCGTAAATAGGGTCCTACTAAGCCCAATAAGGGAAAATACAAAATGTCCCAAAGGCCTACCTAGTATTTTGTTGCGCTCACCCTCGGACATGACATGCCCGGGGCAGGTCCCAAACCCTAAACCATAGGGATCCTTAGGGGTGTAGGGGGACGGGGGGTAGGGGGCCTTAAGGCCCGTAATAAGGACTAATAAGGCCTATTTAAGGAAATATAGTCCCCTACACCCCTCCCCCCTACACCCCTAAGGATCCCTATGACTAAACCCATGTCCGGCCGAGCTTGCCCTTCGGTGATGAAAACGTTCTAAGAAGCTTCAGCCAGCTGTCGAGGCCGTTCAGGAACGTGAGGGCTTAGGCGCGTCTTCAGGCTTAAGGGAAGGTTGCTTCAGAGATTGCACAAATCCCCAAACTTCTGGACCTTATGAGGGTCTAACACAAGCTCTTATGGCTTCAGGGTTGAGGCTGTGCTGGAGTGTGGATGGCTTAGGGTGGAGAGGCTAGGGTGGCTTATAGTATGGGGTTTAAGGTTTAGGGTGGAGGGTTTGGGGATGCTTAGAGTGTAGGGTCGAATGTTGAGGGTTGAGGGTGGCGGGCTTAGGGGTTAGGGTACAGGGCCTCAGGGTTTAGAGTTTATAGGGGTCGCGGCTGCCATAAAAGTTGGGAGCTCACTGTCCACATGCCCTGAAAGAAAAGACATCATGCTGAACACCAGAGCCAACCATATCTGTTTCTCATTGTTTCCGGCTTCCAACTGCTACCAGCTGCTAACTCACGATCTGCATGGTCAAGCCCCGTCATGAAACCTCCAAGCGAGCCGGGAAGAATGCTTCTATCTCCAACCGAATACCCTGTTCAAACACCCTTCTAGACGAAAGATTGCATTACAAACGATTCGCGGATTTGTGGGCAAAAGGAAAACCAATGGTCTACATGCGAACGTCAGTTTCCGAAGCCCAGGGAGACAGCGAGGGAAAAGGCCGAAACTTAGTTGCAATTTCGGGCCCCAAAAAAGCACATAAGCTCAAACTAAGGATAGGGATATCTTGGGTACGGCCCCCATACAGCAAGAGTCTTATTATTCAACTATTACTGAGTGGGGGCCGTACCCAAGGGATATCCCATATATGTAATGAAGCCCCATAAGTCAGGGACATCCCCATAAAATGCTTCTGTGCTTTTTGGGGGTCCCTAAAGTCTGCAGGGCGACTTGTCGGCTTCGGAGCACCGGGAGCTGAAACACTACGAACAGTAAAAAAGTCTCTCTTGTCTCTCTTCTGCAACAACCGGGCCCCAAAAAGTTCAGACTTTCTAAGATGGAGCTAGTATATAAGGCCAAAAAGTATAAAGTTCCCCCGTTCACTATCTAAGTCTTGCGCAATCTGCTTCTAAACATGCTTACATTTGTTCCCTAAACAAAACACCAAACGCTAACATACCAAAAACATATTACAGTACTTCAGATCATCCTTAAACCCCAAACCCCTAAACCCTGAAACCCCTAAACCCTGAAAACCCTAAACCCTGAAACCCCTAAACCCTAAAACCCCTAAACCCTAAAACCCCTAAACCCCTTTTTTAAGCACGGACTTGCAGTGTATGCCGGCAGCGAAGCTTTACCCTGAAACCCTAAAGCCCAAACCCCCGAAACCCTGCCTATAGACCCTACCTTCACCTACCAAAACCCACTGTTTTGTAGGGTCCCTATAAATTCCATATTAGGGTTTATAATAAGAACCTACAAAAAAGTAGGGTTTGGTAGTTTGAGGTAGTACTTCAGACCCGGTGCAACTTTCCACCCCTGGCATTCCCAGAGAAGATCGCCCCGCGTAGTTGCAAGTGGCTTCCGAAGGCTCAAGGGTGCCCAGGAATCGGGGTGTAGGGTTTCAGGGTTTAGAAAAACTAAACCCTAAACCCTACAGGGTGCAGGGTTACAAGCTTTAGAAAAACTAAACCCTAAACCCTAGAGGGTGTAGGGTTACAAGCTTTAGAAAAACTAAACCCTAAACCCTAGAGGGTGTAGGGTTACAAGCTTTAGAAAAACTAAACCCTAAACCCTAGAGGGTGTAGGGTTTCAGGCTTTAGAAAAACTAAACCCTAAACCCTAGAGGGTGTAGGCTTTCAGGCTTTAGAAAAACTAAACCCTAAACCCTAGGGTTTTTTCGGCGCTCACACTCGGACAATCCAGGCGAGGCAGGGTTTAGGGTTGTAGGGGCTTCAGGGTTTCAGGGTTCCCAGAGACTCCGATATCCCTTAGTTAAGGAATACTCCTCAAATCATATTAGGCCTCCATATTAGGCCTCCTACTATAGTTTCAGGTATATTCCTTAATTTAAGGGGTATTGGAGTTTCTGGGTTGGCGTTTGGGACTTTAGGAGTTGAAGGCTTGGGGGCTGGAAGGTTTTAGGATTCCGAGGGCGTCGCTCGCAAGAGACCCCAATTCCCTAGTTGCTGATGAACGTATCCTCAAGTGATAGTAGGGATCTTCAAGACGGAAGCATTAATCAAGATACGTTGAGTCTCGCGATGGTTTTGGGCTTGCGGTTTGAAGGGTTGGGGGCTGGATGTAGCTGTAGGGCTACGAGTTTCTCTACAGCCTCGGAAGGGACACTGTGCACGGCAGCCCGGAGGTAAAGCAGGTCATGCCGGCGCCATGTGGTTTTAATATAGGGGCCGTAATGATATCATATCGGATAAGGAACTCCGCGGGAATAGTTCGGTGAATAATAAGGGAAATTAGATATCAAGCCCCTATAATAAATGCGTGTGGGGCTGGCGGAGTTACCACTCGCGCCCCCGAATTTTGGAAGGATGCCATCGTCAAAGGTGGTGGTAAATGTTTGGGTCCCGAAATGTCCCGGAGCATGCGCAAGGTCTAACGAGCCACTAAAGACTAACAAACGCTTGACCCTAAGCAGCCAGGCTCCTGGTTACCCAACACTCAGCTTACTCCCTACCCTGAGCCTCACATTCTGTGTAAACTGAAACCCGAGGATTGTACCTGCAAAACCTCTCTGGGATGAGCCTGAGTAAAGCAAAAGCCAGAAAGTTGGAATATGATTATCCTAAACCCTTAATGGTAGATTATCGGGTATCCTACCCTGAAACCATATTCCAACTTTCCGGAGTTCCCTTTATGAGCCTGAGTAACAAACGGAACCGGACAGCCAGTTCGGGTTCGGTGCAGGGTTTGGGGCATTGCTGACTCTTCGAACTAGACCCGTACCTGATGAAAGGATCCTAGCCATACTTCAGATCATCCAGAAAAGAAACACTTGTCATATTATTCCCATTGTCAAATGTTAACATAAGCCTTAATGGAAAACGATTGCTCGTATGATTATCAGTACTGTTAGCTGCTAGTGTTATCATTCAATTTTCATTGTTCTGGGTTGGCCTTTAAACACCCTGAAAAATACTATATATATATATATATATATATATATATATAGGGCCCCTTATAAACCCAAATAAGGAAAATAGAAAATGTCCCAATATTCAACCTAGTTGATCAACAATAAAGTTGCCTTTTCAACGTCGAAAGCTCTAGGTCAGAGGATGGCAGGAAACGTGATCCAAAGGGGAAAGGAGGGACCCTTAATAAGGACCCCTAGGTATATACCCTCAAAAAAAGCTATTATATACTCATTATATTATATAGCCCATTATAGGGTAGGGGCCGCCATTAAGGGTACCCCTACCCTATAATGGGGCTATATACTGGGTATATAATAGCTATATTACGGGTATATACCTAGGGGTCCAGACGGTCCAGATTAAGCGTCCCTCCTTTTACCCTTGGAGAAACGTGATCAAGCCCCTGCAAAAACGGTCTAGCCTATCCGGCGCGCACCGGGGTCAACTTTTGGATTCAGCTTCTTTTCCAGCGACGTAAAGTTTAAGGCTTAGGGGCCCACTTGGGGGTCGCCTGCCCTAAAGCTTGTACATCTGTTTCCTATCATCTAGGATCTTAAAAGCCAAGAAAATCAAGTAGCCTGGCGACCCTTCAATCAACCTTCTCCCTGAACCCACACGCAAGTGCATCGAAACTCTCAGTAGTAGACTTCTGATAACCACAAAGTTAACAATAGAACCAGAAATTCAATGTAGAGTCCTCAGCGATGAAGATTTAGCTTTCGGGGCATGTTAGTTATGGTACATTTGTAGTTAGGAGCCCACAGGCATATAACCACGAGTAGTATTTATTCCGGCTTCTACGTCACTGCGAGCTCTGGTCTCACCAGAGTTGGGAGGATGCATGGAGGCTTCACTTTTCGGGTGCCCTAGTCGTCGAGGGGTCAAGCATCCATGCTTGCGGTTCACTTGGGGACCCCAATATCATAGTAGGATCCCCAGTATGGTACATTCCTTGTTAATACACCGTAAAATAACAGTAGGACCCCTAATATGGCACATTCCTTAATTAAAGGGGTTTTGTAAGGTCTTCGCAATTAGGGACCCACCACGGAAGGCATCGGTCAGCCAGACTCTGGCCCTTACGCCACCTGAAAGGATCCATGTACTCGAAAATTATATGGGTGGTTGTCAAAGTTATGGTCCCTTTTTGGGTCCCTGTTATAATACGGCACCTAATGTTTAGCGTACCCAAAAAGGGACCCCAATTTTGACAACTACCCATCTAGCCCTGGGGCTCCTAATAGCCCAAAGTACGCACTAATTTTTAGACTGTGGAACCCTAAGTAGGTAGTATTTGTATACTTGGAGCCATAGGGTAGGAGCCTGGATGCTTAGAAAAAAGCTCTGGGATGCACTAAATCTTGTAATTTTGAGCCAGGGGACGACTTCGAGCAGTGGTTCTCGCCTTTATGTTCCTGTATATGCGCGCAAGGCTCCCTTCAGTACATGATCTACAAAGGAGTAGGTTTTCAAAACTGGTAGCTCAAGGTAAGGACACGGATCCGTTCGGAAACTCG